TTCAGTGTGCAGTGAGAGCTGCCCCCCAGGTACCCGAATGGCTGAAAGGAAAGGAGAACCTCTCTGCTGCTTTGACTGTATCCCATGTGCTGAAGGGGAGATAAGCAATAAAACTGGTGAGGAAATCACATCACATCATCATTTCTTTATTCACACTCCTGTTAAAATCATGTACAACATACTCATTTTTGTAGTTATTATGTTATGTGAAATGGGACACCCTAGGAAGCTTAAAAAGCTTTTTAAGAGGGGCCTGACTCTTAATTTTGACCTTTATGTTTTATTTTCATTCCCTCTCTCCTGTTTTTTCCCTTAGCAGGTTCCCATCACTGTGAGCGCTGTGCATCTGAGTTCTGGTCCAATGCTGATCAAACTGCCTGCATCCCTCGCCAGCTGGACTTCCTTTCCTTTAATGAGACTTTGGGCATTACTCTGACTGCAGTAGCTGTGTCTGGTGCTGCGGTGACAACAGCTGTGTTTGTGGTGTTTCTTTACTACCGTCAAACACCCATGGTAAGAAGTCAGAGTACATTCATTTTTGGTCTGTAGATGTCTGACAGATTTCTGCATTACTGCATATTGAAATAGATTTGTTTAAAATAATGTGTTTTAGTCCATCTTAAGTAGTTAATATGCTTGTCTTTTTAATACCAATTTAATCCCAACACTCATTTGCAGGTTCGAGCCAACAATTCAGAACTGAGCTTCCTGCTTCTCCTGTCACTGAAGCTCTGCTTCCTGTGCTCACTGGTGTTCATTGGTCGTCCATCAGTCTGGGCTTGTCGGTTCCAGCAGGCAGCTTTTGGGATCAGCTTTGTACTTTGTGTCTCCTGCCTCCTGGTGAAAACCTTGGTAGTTCTTGCAGTGTTCCGTTCAGCTCGGCCTGGTGCTGAAGCTTTGATGAAGTGGTTTGGTCCCGGCCAGCAGAGAGGAAGTGTCTGCCTCTTTACATCTATACAGGTGTGAATATATTTTTCTATGGATTAAATGATGGGGACATTTCTACACTTGATATAAAACACTTAAATATGTTTACATTTCTTACAGATTATCATCTGTGCCATATGGCTGTCCCTCAGCCCCCCGGTGCCTCAGCATGATCTGGGTTTCAAAGGATCAAAGGTCACCCTGGAGTGTGCCATGGTCTCTGTGGTGGGCTTCTCTCTGGTTCTGGGTTACATTGGTCTGCTGGCCTGCACCTGTCTTCTTCTGGCCTTTCTTGCTCGGAAACTCCCTGACAACTTCAATGAGGCCAAACTGATCACCTTCAGCATGCTGATATTCTGTGCTGTCTGGGTGGCCTTTGTCCCTGCTTACGTTAGCTCTCCTGGGAAGTATGTTGTAGCTGTGGAGATTTTTGCAATCCTGGCCTCCAGCTATGGTTTGCTGCTTTGCATTTTTGCCCCCAAATGTTTTATCATTCTCTTGAGGCCTGAGAAAAACACAAAGAAGCACCTGATGGCCAGGTAGTTTTTCTGGAACTGATGATGATGATGATGATGATGATGATGATGATGCCCATTGTTAACATGCTTGCATGAAAACTTCTTGCAGCCACACATAGTTATGGTAGCTGTATATATAAAATATTTCTGCTGTTTTTAGTCATAATAAATGCTAATATAAACACTTTTCATCAACCATTAAAGACAACCACACATTGAAATAAAATACTGCTCCCTGGAAACCTTGATTTATTTTGCACTAATTTGTTTTCTCAATCTCTTTTTCTGTGTTTTGAATAAATACTGTACATCATCTGAATAAAAATCCACCAGTTTCTCAGGAACGTACCATTAAAATAGTGGGCCTTCAGAGTGCCTCATCACAATAGTTGAGTAATTTTTATTTCAGTTAGTTGCCATAAAATAAAAATCCTCATGCATTATTTAAAGCCATGCATTCTGCATATTAATTATGTCTCCTGACCACAGAAAGGATTTCACTGAATAATTAAAGTCAAGAAATCATGGATTGCAGTTTTTATGTGGTAGGGAAGAAGGTAATTATGACACTTTACATCCTTTGGAGGTTGGCCAGAAGTAGTATGTCTTGTTGAGCCCAGTCTCACTCTAAAGTCGACAAAATCCAGCGCTTGGGCAGTGACTTGCGGCATCATAAACCAACAACAAACACCGACTTTCACCTGAGAGAGCGGTGTTTTCGTCTTGTAAGATTCTAAAGCCAAACCCTGTTCTTCTTTCCTAAACCCAACCATGTCTGTTTGTTGTTGAAGGAAAAAAATGTCAATTCATAGTGTTGTACCAACATAGTGCAAAAGGCAGAACTTGACAAGGTGTCCCAGAACGTCAACAACCAACACACCCAGCTCACCTTGCATGTCATATGTGGATTCAGAAAATCCATGAACAAACGTCAATATGTGACGAGGTCAGAGTGAAAATGTGTTGCAATGTTATTTTTTTCTACAAAGCCTGTGTCATATCCAGTTTCATTACAAGTGATTTAAGACTGAATAACATTCACATAGGCCGCTTCCTCCTGCAGGGGAGCTGATTGCAGACAATGACCAATCTGGACATAAATGCTGTCGCAGAGAGTTGGAGAGATAGACAGCAAAGTCTGTACGAAATAGAATGCACAATATTTTGACCCTTCTTTCTCTTGTTCCTTTAACCTTTTTTGATGCATGTTTTAATATCTATATATTATGCAAATACTGGATCAGTCACAGCTGGAAAATACCAGTAATAATACAACTCTTAGCCTGTTATTGAAGTGGCAACTTTATTTGACCTGTCCCAAAGGTTGAATTGCCTACAACAGCTATGGTATAATAATTTATCTACTGTATATATATATAATAAATAAGAATGGCATCGTGTTAGCTATGATCTGCAAAACAACAAACATGCACACAGCCCTCCCCTGTTCCTCCTCCCTGTCACTGTGTAATGACCTTTAATTGCTTGTTAAATGAACAATGATGGAGGTGAGCAATCGCACACCTGCGGCTCTGAATTATTTCTGATGTAACCTAGTCCTCTCAGGTAAGATGACCCTTTGCTCCTGTCCCAGCCTCAGTGAGCCTGAGCAAAGTCAGCCTCACTTCCACAACTAATTTGTGTTGTGTATTTTTCTGACTGTCCTCTTGATGCCCTGTTGAGGCTCCTAAAAGTCGTAATATAGTTGCTTTTTACCGCACACATACATGTACACAAGCAGCATTGTTCTCATGCTTGCCTGCATGCGTTATATGAAGGATTAACAAGTACAGCCACTCAGAGGCAAATCAGCAAATCGTTCCTGGTTGTCACTGGAATATCTTCTGTGAGAAACACAATTGAAGATGATGTTACTTGCAGAGGTTACTGGAAATTTTGAAATCATGGGCACAAAAATTAGAGTGCCAACAAGTTCAGTTAGTTTCTGGATAAGTTCATGTAGACCGCTAGCATGGGTGTATGTATGGTCAGGAGATGATTTATTGTGGACCACTCAACTGAATATGATATTGCAATACGAGGGCTGGGACTACCCTACAGCCTGTATCAGTGACATCTAGCAAAAAAGGTGGGCTCAGACTTGTTTGCTGAGATCTAACAGGTTTCCTCATTGCTAAGCTGGAGGGGCAGATGGTGGTGACAGGCAAAGCAATGGCCTTCCTCTCGATGGAGGTAGTTGTCCCTCTCATAGACACAGAGGTGGACCAGGCCTGTTTGCTTACTGTCTTAGTTGCCATCTGCCATGTCTGGGCCAGATGCAAGTAAGATGCTGCAGCAGTCCCGATATGGGATGTTTGGGTGCTTCAGAAGCTGGCTGTAGGTTGTTGTGACCCCATTGCTTACTTTCTTTATGGCCCCTGGACACATGTGCAAGTTCTGCAAAGTTTTCATTGAAACTAGTTTCTACTGAAAAAAGTCCCCATGAAAACAGCCCAAACATATACACATATATCTATATATACCTGTACATATACCTCTCACACCGGAGCCCTGCCTAACAACACTGTTGTTTCACTAAAGGTTCATTATGAAGACTTTTTGGATAATGTATGATTAAAAGACTGGTCACATTAACCAATACTGAAAGAACAGTGTTGTTAATCAAGGCGTTAGAATAATGGTCCTGTTTTTATGAGTCCCTGTGGGTTAATTTAGACACTAAATACTGAAGATGAAAATACTTCTTTTGGGATATCTGTGGTCACTACCCTCTCGGTAGATACTCTAGTTTCTGTATTACACAGCAGTTAGTTATAATATTATTGTTTTGCTCTCACCTTTGAGAGAAGTGATTTGATGCACTGTCATACTGCTTCACCATGGGCTTTACAGCTGTTATAAAAACACACAACAACATTTATGCTGTGCAGAGCAGGAGGGGTGTGTGTCATACTTAAGACAACCTTGTCAGTTGTCACTGCAACTTGAACTTGTTGTAATACACATTGTCTCATTGAAATGTATTTGTACTTGCAGGTGGATGTCTTCAGGATGTATTAAGAGGGATTTAATTGACTTTGACATCTTCATTTCAGGAACTTTAAACTGTTTATTGCACCTCTTATTCATGTATATTTATGCCAATGAGAAGCTGACTGAGTTTATTGCAGCTGCATCTATGTCTTGGTTATCCTGGCTCTTCACTCTGAGGCTGTGCTCAGCCCCATCCTTGCTCCTTTTGGGGCTCGAAGGCAGTCAGCTGGGGCTCAGGGTAGGGTTGCAGGTGGCTCAGGCAGTGAGCTGTTCTCGGTGGGGAAAACCGGATGACCAGGGTTTGTTCCAGGATGGAGATGTAGTTATTGGTGGGCTTTTTAGTCTTTATTACCAACCTCCAGCTACAGACAACGGCTTCACTCAGCTGCCACACAACAAACCTTGCACTGGGTAAAACTCTAAACTGTACTATTTACTCTGAATACTGTGCAATGCATATAGATATGTTTGACAAACAAGTGTCAGCTGTATCTTTTCTGTTCCATAGGCAATTACTGATGGTTGTTTCACATTCATGTTAATTTTCCCTTTTAAAAATATGGTATATACGTAATAACTGCTTATCTAATAATGACACAAAATGACAAGCCATAATAATATTAGCAAGATGATTACAGATCTCATGGTCAGTTCAGCATTTTGACTGATATCTCTCTCATCCCCTCTCCCCTGTGGTCTCAGTTTGCAAAATCTTCCATTACAGTATCTCTATGCGATGGTGTTTGCGCTGGAGGAAATCAATCACAGTATAACCCTGCTGCCAGGTGTTAAGCTGGGCTACCACATTCGTGACAGCTGTGCCCTACCCCTTTGGGCTATGCAGGGAGCACTGTCGCTGGTTGGAGGAGACAGCGCCAGCTGTAATACAGCAGACCCTCCAGACTATTCTGCTGGGTATGGAGAGGGAATCGGAGAAAAAGGAGGTACTATATTGAATCGCATAACTGATGTACATCCTTTCATATAAAAAAAAAAACAAACAAGCAAAGTAAATGAAGACAGCATAAACATTGCAGTGTTTTAAAATAGAACAAAGCCCTAACAAATTACTTTATTTTATCATCATTATACTTTTTTTTATATCATCAGGTGATCAGCCTGTTCCTGTGATTATTGGTGGTTCCTCCTCTAAAGCAGCCACAATACTCTCCAGACTCCTGGGGCCTCTCTCTGTACCTTTAGTGAGTTTCATTATATCTCAAATTTCCTTGGTGTTCATTTGAATATTTAAAAAAAAAAACCCTTTAAATTAAAATTGGAATTGTAAACTGCGATAAAGAAAAAATATTTTCAGATTTTCACTCATAATGTTGAAAACTTCACTTTGTATAACACTGTGGTTTAACATGTATTACATTTAACATGACATTTATAGTTTTTTTTAAACCTACTTTGACTGACTTCTGTGCATAGATAGCAGCTCATTTATGTTTTCTCACCTTCCTTTTGCTGTCCTGTGAGTATGTGATTTTAAAAATCCATGTATGAATGTATTTTGTCTTTTACAATAGATGAGCTACACCGCTAGCTGCCCCTGTCTGAGTGACAGGCGCCAGTATCCTAACTTCTTCAGGACCATGCCCAGTGATATTTACCAAGCCCGGGCCATTGCACAGCTTGCCATGCGCTTCAACTGGACCTGGATCGGGGCAGTGGTAGCAAATAATGATTATGGCCATATGGCAATAAAGGTGTTTCCACTTGTAGGAGAAATACTATGTAATCTATACAAGACATCTACATGAATGCAATATGTGAATATTTTTCATTCATTTAATCATTTTGCTCCTTTCAACTGTCAGGTATTTCAGGAAGAGACTCAGGGGGCAGGGGTGTGTCTGGCATTCGTAGAGACTCTCCAAAGGGAAAACATTGTGAGTGATGCCAGACGAGCAGCACTCACAATTCAGGCCTCAACTGCGAAAGTGATTCTGATCTTTACCTGGTACACAGATGTGAGGGAACTGTTCCTACAACTCGCCAAGATAAATGTGAGAAGCTGAAATAAAA